GAATGATTTAAAAATAAAAAAGGTGTGTGACAGGGTTGTATTCTTTCACCATACTTATTCAACCTGTATGCTTGGCAAATAATTCAAGAAGCTGGGTTATTCTGAAAAAAATTGTGGCATCAGGATTGGAAGAAGACTCATTAACAACCTGTGATATGCAGATGATACAACTTTGCATACTCAAAGTGAAGAGGACTTAAAACATTTATGCATGAAGATCAAAGACCACAGCCTTCAGTATGGATTTAATAAAAATCCTCACCACTAAACCAATAAAGAACACTCTTATCAATGGAGAGAAGATTGCAGTTGTCAAAGACTTCATTTTTCTTGGATCAGCCATCAACACTCATGGAAGCAGCATCCAATAAATCAAATGGCCTATTGCATTAGGCAAATCTGCTGCACAAGACCTTTTTAAAGTGTTGAAGAGCAAAGATGTCAGCTTGAGGACTAAGCTGTACCTGACCCAAGCCATGGTGTTTTCAATAACCTCATATGCATGCAAAAGCTGGACAGTGAATAAGGAAGATTGTAGAATTGATGCTTTTGAGTTATGGTGTTGGTGGGAAATATTGAAAGTGCCATGGGCTGCCAAAAGAACCAAGTTGGAAGAAGTGCAGTCAGAGTGCTCTTTGGAGGCCAGGATGGCCAGACTTTATCTCACATACTTCGGATATATTGTCAGGAGGGAGCAGTCGCTGGAGAAGGATATCATATTTGGTAAGGTGAAGGGTCAGAGAAAAAGAGAAGACCCCCAGTGAGATGCATTGGCAAAGTCACAGCATCATTGAGCTCTAGTGTGGCAACAACTGTGAGGTTAGCCCAGGATTGGGCAGTGTTTCGTTCTGTTGTGCATAGAGTCACTATGAGTGGTACCGACTTGGTGGCAGCTAACAACAACAATGCTTACTTGACCCAGAAAACCTCACAAAGTCATGCAAATCAAGAGGTTCTAATCTCCGGGTCCATTTTAAGAACACCTGTGAAACTGCCTGGGCCATCAAGGGTATACATATCTGGAAAGCCACTAGTATCTGAAAGATGTCACTTTGCAGAAGACATGTGTACCATTCAGACATTACAATGGGTGGCATTGGTAAGTGTGCCCAGGCCAAACAGTGGGATTGGATACAGGCTGGGTGGGGAAAAGAAAAAAAAAAAAAGAGTGCTGAATTTTTGCTGCACATGCTTAAAACTGCAGAATGCAATGCTGAACTTAAGGGCCAGGTCACGATGCGCCGCCGAACTTACAGAGCTCATGGTCGGATCAGCCCCTACGTAAGCTCCCCCTGCCACACTGAGAAGATCCTCACTGAAAAGGAGCAAACTGTTCCTAAACCAGAAAGGGAGGTCGCACAGCACAAAAAGATATCCAGGAGAAACTGAAGAAACAGAAAGTTATGGCTTGGGCATACATTAAGCTTATAATAAAATGCACCTAATAATC